TTAAATGGAGAGGAGGAGTTGAGTGATGAGGAGAAAGCAAGACGGAAGGCAGAGCGACGCAAAGCCAAGAGGAAGGTGAGAGGAAAAGCCTATCTTGCTGGAAATCTATATGTCAAAGGATGTCATTCGTTTTCTAAAGTGTACCTGTGCAACCATTTCAGCGCCGTCGAAAACGTAAGAAGCAGGAGCAAAATAAGCAAAATCACAATGCTGAACAGGTAAAGATTTTAATATTCCCCTTGGAAGTGCACCCTCCTTTAGCCTCTGTGGGGTGAAAATCTAAATATTCAGCTCTTCCTCCACATTAGGATGACGAAGAGGATGGAGGTGCAGAATCTGAACTAGACGAGAGCGATTCCGAAGCAGAAGTTGGGGGTGAAGACGAGAAACAACGGGCGCAGCAAGAAGAGGAGGGGAAATTGGAGGCCTGCTCTAAAGATCTTGCTACTCCTGCTATTGCTCCTTCAGGATATCAGGAGACCCAAGCCAGATCTGCTGAGGAGGTTGGGGCACTACACTAGTTTATTATCCATGTGTGAATAAGCCATTGTTTTTATTTTTAGTCATTAGCTATCATCACAGGCCTCAAGACAATGAATTAATAGAAGCGTTTCAAGTGAAAGCCTGTGTGCTTGTAGGCCTGGATGGCACATGATTTAACACTAGTGTCTGACTTTGTGTCCCACAGGAGCCAGAGTGGGATGTCAGCAGTGCCTTCTTTGCAAATGCTGCTAGCCATATCAAACCCAAAGGATCAAGTCGAAAGTCCAAAGAAAACAAGGAGAATGAAGCCAGGAGAGAGGTGAATGTTAACAGATGGTCTAAGAGAAGCAGCTATAGCAAAAACGCCCATATATAATAGTTCTTGCTGAGGTGGTGTTCCTGTGTTAGTTCAAAGTCTGATATGTGGGGAAAGTGGACTATGGACCATGAAAGATTTGATGAAAGCTGTGTGTGTGTTTGTAGTGTAAATACACATTTTCATGAGTATAAAGTGATGAAAATGATATATATACTTTTTTTTTTTTCTTCTTTGTTTTGTTCAGACAAATGGAACTGACACCATGACCAAGAAAAGTGCATCACTGACAGGTAAAGAATTGAAACTTTAAAAGTTATTCATGGAAATGGAAACAAAGGCTTCGAGGACATTGATTACACATTCTTTCTGAAAGCATGTCAGCATACAGCACTGCGGTCATTTGAGCCTTTGGGAATGTTTAAAAACAAATCTTTATGTCCTGCAGAAAAAGGGATAAAGCTGGTGCAAGAGGGGCAGTATGCACAAGCAGCCAGTATGTTTACAGAAGCCATAAAATGTGATCCCAAAGATTACAGGTACAGCTTCTGTGGTCATGACTTGGGCATTACAAAAGAAATGCACATTTCACATAATATTAATTCATTTATTTATTTATTTTTTTAATGTCGTGTAGATTCTTTGGGAATCGCTCCTATTGCTATTACTGCTTGGAGCAGTATCCTCAGGCCCTGGCAGATGCTGAACGCTCCATTCAGCTGGCCCCAGACTGGCCCAAAGGATACTTCCGCAAGGGCAGTGCCCTCATGGGCATGAAGGTTGGTACAAGCTTGTAATAGCTTGTAGTCGAGTAAATAATCTACCGAAAAAGCGTTAAGCATTAGTGTTAACTCACTCACTCTGTGTGTGTTGTAGCGGTACAGTGAGGCAGAAAAGGCTATGGAGCAGGTGCTGAAGCTGGACAAAGACTGCGAGGAGGCTGTCAATAATCTATTTAACTGCAAAGTGCTGCAGTTAATGGTAACGCCTACACACAAAAGCTCTGTAGATGTGACACGTATTATTTGTATGCCTTCTCCCAATGACAGCTGTGACCCAAGGAAGTGCTTTTTTCTTTTTTCTTTCAAGTTCCTCTTTTCCACTATTAGAGGCATTTTGGCACAAACATTTACTCGATGAGCCGACTGGAATTTTGGTGTCAAGGTCACAGTGAACTAAAATCAGTCTACTTCTTGTTAGTCTGTTGTATTAGGATTGCTTTAAAGGGATTGGGTTTTTTTTTTTTGTTTGTTTGTTTTTTTTTGGTAAACATTTGGCACATTTACTCACACTTGGCAATGAACTGCTTGGATTCTGTACTCAGAGGTTAAGGTCGCTGTGACCACCTCAACACACAATTTATTTATTTTTTTATTTTTGCCATAACTAAGAAATGGATAAGATGCCATAAAGCCATAATGTTCAAGGATCAAGTGTACACAGCCATGATTGTAAAGTCTCTGCCAAATGGCAGACGGATGGCATACACCCTTGTGGTGGTAATTTGAGTTTCTCTCTTTCTTCCTCAGGAACTGGGCTTTGAAGAAGTGCAGAGTGTCTTGCTGTTAGATAGATTTTCAACAGTGCAGGGTGTTCTGGCATATTATTCTGAAGCAGCCAAAAGTAAGGCCAAAAAAATGACCAACAGTTTTTCTTCTGGATCAAATAAGTTTAAAGCAAAAATCATACAACTGATTTTCCGATGTATTCTCTTGATGATGCTTTTTCTTTCCTCAGCAGCAGCTGGGAGCACAGATTCATCTGTTGTGCAACCAGGGTAGGTGACTGTAATTGAGCAGTCAAAAATAGAGTTGTTGATGAATTTTTTTTTTTTTTTTTTTTTTAAAAAGCACTCTTGGTGATATTCTCTCTCTTGCAGAACTCCCTGTCAATCCCTCTGGGTGGGAAATGTGACAACTGAATTAACTGAGAAACACTTAAGGGACCTTTTTAAAATGTAAGATCCTATTCTGGTACAAAATGTTATCATTTAAACACAATATCCCTATACGAAAAATGTGGGAAGCTAAGTTAAACCTGCAGTTGTTGACTGGTCTGCTTGTGTCTCCTTGTATTGAAGGTATGGTGAGATTGAGAGTATCCGTGTGCTGCATGAGAGATTCTGTGCCTTTGTTAACTTCAGGGATGCAAGCATGGCTGCTCGTGCCATGGAGAAACTAAATGTAAGTGCGTTTTTGTTGTTTTGTTGTTTCTCCTTTGTCAGCATTATTATTTTCGTAGCACCAGTTATTGCCGTGGGGTTAGATGTGTATATGTGCTTGCTGTCACAGGGTCACTGTATTGAAAACACTCGTTTAGTGGTGCGCTATCCTGACCGCCGCACTCAGAGGTCCCTTCCTATTCCACTCAAGACTTGCCTCCCTGTCACACAGCAGGGAGGCACAGCTGCTGGGTGAGACGCTAACTGGCTGCTCTTTTAAAAACTCTAGTTAAGAAAAATAATGATGATGATGATGATGATAATAATCATACAACAGGACTGCAGTTTTATAACTAATGTGCAACCTGTATGTCTCTACCCAGACCCCGAAGACGCGGCCCGGTTAACGGAGATGAGTGTTACTTCTGGAGAACCACTGGCTGCCATTTTGGGGAAAAATGTCGCTACAAACACATTCCTGATCAGAAGGGCAAGGATAGGAAACCTTGGCAGCCTTGAACACAGTTTACTCTCTGCCTCATTACTGAAAAAAGAAACCGGGATACGCCGACTGTGCCAATGGGACTGGTTCTTGCCGCACAAGGTTCTCTGGGCTAAAAATATTTACTGTGGCAGACTGGATAAGAATGGCCAAAGGTTCAGAGCCAGCATTCAGGTTCTACTGGAGGGGGGGTAGTCACATGTACCACAAAGGATTTGGACCATGAAGGTTTATATTCTAAC